TAAGGGGGTCCTTTGTTCAAAAGGAAAGAGGATAGGGATTGGGTGAGCTAATGTACTGTAGGGAGGATCCAGGTAGTAACTTAATGGGGGGGGAAATGTGGTGGAATATTCAGCTGATGAAGCTGCATGCCAAAAAATGGTATGCCAAGTTGGCACGATGCATACAGCTAATCTACTTTTCAACCAGCAATAAACCTTTTGGAAACACAATGATATGATAACAATTAATCATTGGAGTTTACTGAAGCATGGCTTAACGTGGTTACTTGAAAGGGTTTGAATTTGATGGTCCTGAAGAAGTGAATAGGGTCCTTGTGACTGAAATGCAGCCACCTGTGTATTGGATTAGTTATCCCTCCTAGTTGAATAAGGTTTCCCAGAATATATTTGCAATTGCTTTAAAGTACATCCAGATGGTGTTGATTATTTCCTTGAGGGATGGAGTGGTTTCTTCAGCTCTTAAAAAGTAGCAGTCTGTCCTGTTCTTAAAAAAAAAAAAAAAATCCCTCCATCAAACTGTCCTGGACAATTTTAATCCTAAAAAGGTAGATAGTTTGCATCTCCGTTGGCTATAATGGAATGAGATTATGCAGATACTTTTCAGTTGGAATTACAGTAATGGGCTGGTATCGATTGCACTTGTAGATGACCTGTGCAGGAACATGATTGGGGATAGTACAGATGGATTATAAAGCTAGATAGCTCAAGGTGAGGAAAGAGGAATTTTGAGCTCTGTGCCTGCTTGGATTTTGGCAATGGAGATCAGCTGCCGAGATCTAGGCATGCCCGGAGCTTGGGGCTCTTCTTCCCCCTGCCTCCGCAGGGAGCTCTGCAGAGGTGAGAAGGATTTTAAGCTCTGTGCCTGCTTGGATTTCGGCTCTGGAGATCCAAGCAGGCATGGATCAGCAGGGAGCTCTTTCAGCTAGCCCCCAGAGATGAGAAGGAGTCCTCTCGGCAGGCAGCAGCAGCAGCTTGCAATCTTTCCTGCCAGCTTCCCCATTAACTTTCTGGGGAAGCCTGCAGAGAAAATTGCAAATGACAACCACATGATCATGATCATGGGGCACTTGGCAACTGGCTGAAAGTGCAAAAGCACTCAGATTGTAATCATGTGTCTGCAAGAGAGGATTGTGACATTTTGTGATGGTTGTAAGTGCTTTTCAGGCCCCAAAGCCCCCTTGTGAGGCTGTCGTAACTTTGAATAGTCATTAAGCAAGGATTACCTGTATGCTTGTGGCTTACCTTCACTTGTGCTATATTTTTGTTGCAGTGTGTTTTTTTGTTATTTGTGATTTTGTTTTATCCTTTTAAGCCAGTGGTTCTCAACCTGTGGGTCGGGACTCCATTTGGGGTCAAATGACCATTTCACGGGGGTCGCTAAACAACGCAGTCCGCCATTTTTCCCCCCTTTTCCTTAGCTGTGCTATTCCCTTTTATTCTATTGGCTTTTGAAAGCCAGTAGAATAGACTCTCTTGAATAGAGTCTAATTCTATTGGCTTTCAAAAGCCAATAGGAATTGTCCAGGCTGTCTCTGCCCTACTGAGCCCGCCAAAAGTCCCATTCTGCAAACAGTGCTGCACCAGTTGAGTAGTCCTCGACTTACGACCGGTTGGGGGTCGCGGCATTAAAAGGTTGAGAATCACTGTTTTAAGACTATGTCAGCACCCAGAGTTGCTGTTCATTAGTTCGGTGGCAATGGTTATATAAATCATTAAAAAAAAACAAATCCATTATTCTATATTCTTTTCTCTGATATAAAAGAAAACATGCCTTAACTGTCTTCTGTGTAACACAATAGTGAAAGAGGCCTATGTGTCTCCCTTCACTCATCTTTTTTCAAGGCTGAACATACCCAGTTCCCTCAATGCCTCTTTATTAGGATTAGTTTCTAATCTCTTGATAATTTTTGTGGCTGGAAATTTGCTTCATTTTAGAGTATTATTGTTGAAATAAATTACTTTTTGGGGTCCTTAAAAAAACAAATATATATATCTCTCATATATATTAAAATGTGATGTGAAGAGGCAGATAGCAAGGTCATGTTTCAAACAATGGATTTAATATACTATTTGGTATGAGAATGCTACAGAAAGTTAATCTTTTCAAAACTTTCTATACTGTTAGCATTATGTTTTCAGAAATCTTGTTGCTGATTGGAAAGTAGGTTATCTGATCAGCTTTATGCATCTGACCAACTTGGCATGCCACTTTTGGCATGCAGCTTCATCAGCTGGATAGCAGGGCATCACTATATAATTTTAAGCTGAACAAGTGATTGGTATTACAGTGACAATAATTCCGTTATAACAGACTGATCGTTTCCAGAGTTTAGAATTCAGAAGTATCATTTTTAGTGTTCAAAGGACAAGGATATATTCTAATATGAAATCATCATCCCCATCAATCATTGTCATCACCATGTGGGGAAGAACGTTTTTATTTATTTTTTATTGCTTTTAAAATAATAACAAAAAAAGAAAACAAACACATAGGTAATTATAATACAAAACCATATGTTCTCAAAGAAAAAAATGCATATAAAGTGCTTAAAAAGAAAAAAAGGAAAAATTAAAGTATAATATATATCATTATTACAGTTAACAATTATAATTTTATATATACATGTCTAATGTAAATACGATTCAAATACACACAGAGAGAGAGACACACAGACACACAGAGTAGGTTTTTAATATATGTACCCCTTGACTTGCAACCACAATTGGGACCAGAATTACCCATTGCTAAGCAAGGTGTTGTTAAATGTCTATTCTATTCTATTCTATTCTATTCTATTCTATTCTATTCGATTCGATTCGATTCGATTCGATTCTATTCGATTCTTTCCAGTGTTACAATGTCAGACTTATAGCTGCAGTAAGGGCACAGAATACATTTATGTTGCCCAGTTGTCAAATTCCATTATATATAGGTATGTAATTCAAGAGAATATTATTCTCTGAAAATGTTAACTTTTGTCACACAGATATATAATATGCACATATACATATATACATACATACATTCCACTACTTGTCTCCAAAAATTGAATAAGTATACAACATTGTAAAAGCATGTTTTAAAGATGCATTGTCCTTATTTCATCTCCCACAAAATGCTCTTAGGCAATCCTTTTCTATCTCACATAATGGAGTCTAACAAATTTTAAATATTATTTTTTGTGGCATAAATTGTAGTTTAAGATCCATTGTAGAAGGAAGTTCTGGCTGAGGAATACTGGGAATTGAAGTGTACAAGTCTTAAAGTTGACTGATTTGGGCACTCCTGGTGTAGGCACTATAGGAACCTCTAATCCTTTATTCTATAGATTTCTTAGCATCTTCTTATCAGATTGACTTATTGATAACAAATATCTATAAAAAGCTAATAGTAGATTTTTGAGTTTTAAGGTACTTAACAAATTCTAGTATCTCAAGTGGCTCAGAAGTTGAAGATGCTGCTGGTCCAAATAATTTCTTAACAGAGTTGTAGCTGTAAATATTGCCATTGACTTACATCTTATAAATGATATTTATCTCTTAATATGTTAGAATTAATATTCATTGTCTATCAGTTGATCCAAAGTCAATATCTCCACTTCTATCCACTTCATACATATTAACATCTTTTCCCCAATTTTTAAAATTGGGTTTTCTCATAAGGTTAATTTAGCATGGAAAAGGGAGTCAAATCTTTTTTTAAACATTACATCCCAGAATTTTCTAACTGACATAATTTTTTCCAGAAATACTAGACTTCTAATATATTTAGATCCTAATCCTGTCCATCTAATCGGAGGTACTATATATATATGTATATTCCAAAGTTGCCCAAGTTGGAATATTAATATCAATTATTGGCTTTGAGTATTTAATACTTGATAATAGGTAAGCAGGATGATATAGTTCCAGACTTGGAAAAATGAATCTTCCCTCATTAATTGGTAATTGCATTTTTTGTAAAGATATTCTTGGGATTGAAGAATACCTTTAAAATTTTGTAAGCAAAGAATTTATTTTCTGAAAATATTTTCCAGATACATGAACTGGAATCCTCTCAGAATATAAATTAATCTGGGAATAATATTTATTTTTCCCCAAAGTGTTCATTTTTCCCCAAAGGGCGAGGTTTAATGACTCCCTTCTATCGATATTTGAAGAAAATTCTACATTTTATTTATATTACTGTACTTGTTACTAATTTAATTGTGTCTTTCAGTATACACATAGCTATATCACATGGGACAAAAATGATATATGATAACAATTGAGAGTGCTTTTTAAAAAAAGACAAATATGGTAATTCCTGTTAATAATGTAGCTGTTCACATTGACCAGGATTGGAAAGCTATTCTAGTTGTTTGTATTTTGAAAAATAATAATAATGTTATTAATGTCATTAACAATGTTATGTGCCATATCACACTCTGCTTCTGAAAACTCTGAATTTTGGAAGTATGTAATGTGCTATGTAAGATATAAACACAAAGATCCTCTTTGGGACTGATTGCATTGGTATTATCCTTTGATAAGGAGCGCCAAAACAAACTAACTAACTCAGGTTAGTTGTTGTTCTTCTTTATATTCTTTTTGTTTTTGGTGCGGAGTAGAAAAGAACAGCAAATGTTCTCATAAAGGACACGAAAGAGATTTATTTTGTTGAAAAAATCAGAGCATTTAGCAATGTTGATTTGAATATTTTGGAATTGCATTTCCATCTGCTGTTATCCCCAATATTGCCAACATTTAATCCATAGAAACAAATTCTTTCACATCTCTATCTGTAGTTGTATTATGAGATGTAGATAGTGATGATATAAAATTGCAGTAATAATTTATTCTAGGTTTAGTATGCTGAAAATATGTTTATTTGTGGAAGGGCAACTTTTTAAGTAGAAGGGTAGTTCAATCTGAAGTTATCTTCCACTATAATTCTTTAAGTTTTTTGCTAAATTCTCATTCCTCCTAAACAAGGTGTGTGTTTTGTTTTATCTGCTCAGGAGTTAAATAGCTTTAATTACTTGGACCTCTATAAACTTGCTGATCTCTTCAACCTCAATCTGCTGGAGAAAGCCGTGGTTGATTTTTTAGTGAAACATCTCTCAGAACTACTAAATAATCACCCTGACGAAGTCCTGGCACTGCCATATTGTCTCATCCAAGAGGTTTTGAAAAGTGATCAACTCACGTCACTCAGCGAAGAACAAATCTGGCAGGTAATGTACAAAGAATGATTAAACTATTGGAAGACCAGTATTGTATATCCTTAGCTAGGGAACTAATTATTGATTGACTAATCTTATGACTATATCAAATAAAATAAAATAAAGTAGAATATAATGTCTATTTCCAGAATAAAACAGGAAAAAGAAAATGAAATAATATGTATTATTATTATTATAAAATTAGCACATGTACTAAACACAAAGAATGTATACTGCATATCCATAAGCATTTCTGAAAATCAGATTGCTAGAGCAAATGACAAGAAGCAATAAAAGAAAAACATTAGGAATTAATTATTAGTGCAATATTAATTAATTATTGCCCCGAGGAAGCACTAGGGGGCATTCTGAAGTCTGCTTCCCCTCTTTGACAAGAATGCAAGTAGAACTTTACTGTTCCAGAAGGGGGGGAGGGGTTGATAATACTCAAGACCTTCATATGCCAAGAAAGGGCTGTAAAATAGAGCAGGGGTGAACAAATACAGCTAATTGGTTGGGGGATTATATTTTCAGCTTTTGCTGCATAGCTTGTATCTTTACATTCTTAGCATAAGAGGCTCTTGGTATTCAATACAGTCTACTTTACAGTTAGAAAAATACGCAGGATAAGCTGAAGTATGCTTTGGCACAACCAAAAGTAGATATTCCGTTCATTTCTCTTAAATTTAGCAATATTAGTCTATGTATGACAACTATCAATAGCAGTTTCCTTGAAGAATTAGATACATATCTCTAACAATTAATTTGATGAAGTTGATCTTGGAGGAAGTGGCTGATAAATTGGCATGTCAACATGATCCCTTAAATCCCATAACTGTCACACTTCCAATCAGTGGAGATTCTCTGGAATGTCCAAATTTCTGAACTGGGCTAAAACATAAATAGGCTCTGTCTGACTAAATTGAGTTTCTTAGTAAGAAATCTTTGTTGTATTTAAGTATTGGGCTTTTCAGGACTCCAAATTCAAAGTAAAAAAAGATGCTTTGGAGCGTATGGGAATATGCAGGTAGTACCTCTCTGTAGATGAAGCACCTAAAGCAAGGGTTCTCAACCTTGGCAACTTTAAGACTTGTGGACTTCAACTCCCAGAATTCCTCAGCCAGCAAAGGTTGAGAACCCCTGACCTAAAGGCAGGTCAAGAAGCAATGGATGGAAGCTAATCAAGGCGAGAACCAACCTAGGAGAAATTTCCTGACAGTTAGAACAATTAATCAGTGGAACGGTTTGCCTCCAGAGGTTGTGAGGTTGTGGGTGCTCCAACACTGGAGGTTTTTAAGAAGAGATGAAATGTTGTAGGGTTTCCTGCTTGAGCAGGAGGTTGGACTAGAAGAACTCCAAGATCCCTTCCAACTCTGTTATTCTGTTATGTAGATATTCAAACTAAACACATTGTTTTTCCGAGATTGTGCTGAAGCTGGGGAGGCCAGCTGCATAATCCTGACGGGAAAGAGCAGCTTCTTTCAGAAGTTGCAGACTGGTGCTATGCATGCACTCTGAAGCACCTTTTTACCTTTGAATCTGAAGTGTTACACAGCACTACTAAGTAATATATGAGGATCCTTATCTCTTTCCACTCTGTCCTGGAAGCATCTTAAACAGAAGCAGAAACTGCTTGCTGGAGATCTGCTTGCAGCAGAGTTTTAGTTCAGTGCCATTGTTTTGGAGCCATTCAACAGTTCACATTTTCTCCTCCCCTTACTTTGAGCAGGAGGGCAAAATTCATACCTCCAAGGGAAAAAAGTGAGTTTACCATGTGGGAAATGCAAGCGTGGAAATACGTCTTATACTGAAATGCAGTAGCAAGACCGTTGCCCCAAGTCATGAAGCATTATGAGGACCTGGTCTGCTTCTCCTCCACATGCTGCATGTTCACACATACCTATTTTTGCAGTTGTGCTTCTCTGCTGCATCACATTTAGCATTGCGCATAGTGCGTTTGGTTGTGACAAAAGTGCTGCTTTCTGAGTGATAGCAAATGCTGCGCTGGCCATTCTAGGTGTCATTATAATTGCCTTACTAATGCCGTTACCTAGAATCTTTAAGCTGTTCTGTTGCTGTGGGCAAAATGAATGAAACCAGAATTTCATTTCTGGACTTCTAGAATGAATTAAGACACACATAAATATTTGCCAATTTAGGCAGTAAGTAACTGTTTTTGTTTTATCTTAGTAAATAAGCAATTCCTTCGCAGTCAACCCAATACATGAAAATCAAATCAGGGCTGCTCTGTTGCCTCGAGTGTAGTTAAGTTCATCATTTTTGTTAAGGTTATATGGTAAAGCAATATACCATGGAAGAATCTAATATTCAGCCCAGGGTGAAGATTGGGTATGCCAGAGGATTAGTGTCAGGGTGCTTTAGAGAAGTGAAACTTGATATACAGGCTGGAGCCAGAGCTACAGAATCTCATTAAATTGCTGAATTGTTCATTACTGAGCACTCTCCCTTTAATAAAGTGCTCATTGACTTTGACAAATCCCCATCCTGTGTCTTAAAGGACAACAGGATAAGAGGCATTGGTGAGGAAGGGGGCTACTGGCTCAAATTTGGGTGGGGGCATTGGTGGAAAAGCAGTAGAAAAGCTGGTGAAGAATACTTCTCTCGTGTGTTAAATCGGTGAGGTGTTGGTAAAAGCCAGCTGCAGCCATGTTGTGTATGCACATACATGAACAGGAGGAACTCTGATTTAGTATTCTCCCCCAAGGCATCATCCACTAGTTGTGCTTCCAATAAGCATCAACCACAAATTTAATGGTGTCTCTGCGCTTTCCTTTTCCCAAGGGCAGGACGCTTGTAGTGGATAGCAATATTGTCTAGGCATAAATAATTCCTACACTCTTGTCACTGAAATGATGACTCATATTCAGTATACAGGCTGAACAATTTAGAAGAAAAATATTTATCTTGAATACTGGTAAGGCCAGGCTATAAACAGATAGGATTGTGGCTAACCTGGAGTTCTAGTCACATGATCCTTGTGTAGATAGTCTCATGGTTCTTACATTGCCAGGGAATGTCCCCTATCTGTGAGAGCCAATAAACAAGTGCTAATGCTTAAAAACTTGGTAAATGTTGAAATAACATTTTTTAAAAACAAATTCTGGGTAGAATTTGAATATAAGAAAATGTTACAATGCCAGCATTAGTATACTTGAATTCTTATACACTAATGGTTTTGTTTCTGATGAAAACACAAATGCCTCGTTTTCAAAATCAGATATCAGTGGCATATCACCTTGCAGACTGTGACCCAATAAAGGTTACATCTTTTTATAAAAATATTTTAGGACTTGCTGTGTTTAACATCACAGTTAGAGAACACAATGTAGAAAATTACAACATATTTTTTTTCCTTTATGTTAATTTTCAAAGTCTTGCTCAGGAAGTAAGATAATTTAGGAAGAAAAGGACAATCTTAAAACCTATTGCAATTTCACAGCACTATAGATGGACTATAACAAGGATTGTCTGTTGCAAAAACCTCATGACAGACAAAAATTGATGGGTATCAACTGCACTCTAAATGTTTGGGAATTCTGGCTAATAAATTTCTGCAAGCCTAAAATATTATTAATATTGTTGGTTGGTTGCATAATCAGCCAGATGTTTAGACTGGATTTATCTGCCTATTGAATCCTTCTCAAGGACCTGGGATAGACAGATGTTGTTAAAGATATCACAGCAGGATGTAAGCTGTTCCAAGTGGAGCTGTCTTTTGCAATTTACTGATAATTTTGTCAATGCCAATGGTATTCAAATAGTACTTCAGTTGTTTTGGGATTGCACCCAAGGTGCCTATTACTACTGGTAGTATCTTTATTTTCTTTTACCCCAGTTGTTCTACTTCCTATTTGCAGTCTTTGTATTTTGTTATTTTCTTCCTTTCTTTGTCTTCTCTTCTACTGTCTCCAGATATTACAGCATCCATTATCCAGAATTTTGTCTTTCTTATCAACAGCTGTTAAATCTAGGGCATTATGTGGTGCAGACACAGAAACCCACTTCAATTGAAAAGTATGGATTTATACTATATACACAGAGGTTGAGGTGGCAAAAAATAGTTCCTCTTGTGGTTTCTTGTTTTGTGGCTTGTATGATGTGATTTAAAAAAAAAAAAATTCTCACAATCTAATAGCTATACTTCAGAGACCATCCTAGATGAGGAAAGCCTGGTTTGGGAACAAGACATTTCTCTCTCCTCTGCCTCCTCCTTTCTCTGTTGGAAATATACTTTGTTAGAATAGTTCTTGATTTTGTTGAATAGAAAACATTAGGAAGAGAGTGAAATAGAAGGAAGTAACAGCACAGCAAGCAAGCAACACTGAAAGACTGAAGCACAGAAGTTTGTAGGAAGACAGGAAGTCAAATCATGAAGACACTCTGTGTGGGTGTTCAGAATCGTGGGAGTTATGGTCCAAAATACTTGAAAGACCTTAGATCACTTATTCCTTACTTTATTGAATATGTATTATTGTGTTGACATAAAACATTTTGCCTTTTGGTTTAGACAGCTAATTTGAAGGATGGTACCCTAGGGAATGATGAGTTTGGAAATAAGAACTTAAAAGGACAAGATTTGAATTTGTTTCATATGTTAACTATATGTTTGGCTATTTTGAATTTAGAATAGATCCAGATATGTCATAGTGTGAAATCCTTATTTTCAGAATGTGTCTTTATTCTGCAATTCTATGGTAGGCCTACATTCTTAGCTTCCACTTTTATTTTTTGATGCAGAAAAACCATAAAAATGTAACAAATTGTTCAGTGTCTTTTGGCTGGTTGCACCAGAAACTGTTGGCCTGTTGCATACATTCCTAATCTGTATTTTGATTGATTCTGGGTGATTCTGACATAATGAATTACAGTATGTTCTTCTGCTGGTTTTAGATAGTAATCCTATAATCTTAAATATACAGAAAGTAGTTAACAATATTAGCACAATGACTACATTTGAATATGTCTTCTAGAGCAGAGGTCCCCAACCTTTT